TCTTTGATTACGTCAAAAGCGATTCGTTTGCCGTCTCTTCCGATGTCTTCGCGACATTGAGTCAACTCTTCTCTCGACACAAGAATATCACACAAGCAGTCCTTCTCAGAGATTTTAACATATTTTTTAAGAAATTAAATCTATTGCTTGAATCCAATAACTATTATATTAGGAGAAAAGCTATTAATCTGTTGCTCGAAATACTTTGCGATAGAAATCATCAGAAAGTTTTCAAACGATACATCGATTCCGGATTTAATCTAAAACTCATCGTTAAAATTCTGAAAAGCAATTGTTTGTACACCTCTTTCAGCGCATTTCTCGTGTTTCGCATATTTATAGTCAACCCTAACAAGTGTTTACCAGTCAATGAATATTTAAATCAATACAAAACTGAAATTATTGCTTACATTAAGACATTTCAAGAGAATCGACAGAACATTAAACAAGAAAAGGAAGAAATGATTAAATGTTTAGAAGGAAAAAAAGCGATTCGTCAGCCGTCAGAAGAAGATGAGACGGCTATCAAGTGATCAGAAAATGTTAGCAAGATTTTGCTGTATATGTAAAATATATTTAATATTTTCGAAAGAATAAATGATTTTTTTGCTATTAAAATGCAATACTTTTATTAATAAAATTAATATTACAAATAATTAAACGGAGAACATGTGTTTAACACCAAAAATACATACATATATCAATTGTTTACTAAATACATACATGAAAATACAATTACATGTCAATTGTGATGTAACTTACATGCAATTATTAAAAAGTATGTTTATGTCTACCAATTGTATTATAATATTTAAAGAAATTGATTGAAATTGTTTCAATTATAATTTCGGTGATAAATTATCACTGATAATAAATATACAAACCATATGCCAATCCTTTTAATCAAATTTATGTTTAAATACTATTAATGAATAAAATAAAAATCATTTGAAAATGATTGAGATGACAATGATTATCAAAATTATATGAATTGTATTAATTATCTAAAACAAAATTATTAACAGAATATTAACGGTTATTGTACTGTAGAAAACATGTTTTAACAATGAAAACATATGTACAATACTTTTATATAATGATGAATCGAAATTAAGTATACAATTAAAAGCCACAAAAAATGTTTACTAAATGTTTTTGAAAAAATGAATGATTAGAAAGTTTGTGAGTTTGAGTTACGGGCAAAACTGCTGAACACTTGGGTTAGCCTTGATATGGGAATTGAATGCCTTGAGAGTAAACGTCATACGAGAGGCAAAAACTGACAGTGAAAACGCTTAAACAGGTATTTAAATAAAGTGGTGTAAAGTTTTAAAAAGAGAGACAAACAGGTAATTGTGTTTTCAACTCTCATTTCAACTGGAATTCAGTCAAAACCAATGCCACGACTGAACGACTGGTGGAATCCAATTCACTCTTATCTTAAGACTTTGCTTATTATATGAGATATTGAATAGAGATATAGTGTGACGATATGTCGACCCAACTATAATCAGACGACTCTTCCACTGGCGTTGAAGGATATTCCCAAATATTCATTTAGTATTACTTGGATTTTTAGTTGAATACACTTCTCATTTCATTGGATTTATTGAACACGAGTCAACTAAAGTGTTGTGTTTTTTGTTTCAATCATATTTATTTTGAATAAACAATCTGTTTTAAAATGCAAACAGTTTTGTCGGGTTTTGCCAAAAAAGTTTTGTTGACTGCCGAACAACAGGTAAATTAAATGACAAAAACTTTTAACATTTGATTATTTAAGGTTTTGAAGAATAAGTTTGTGTGACTTAACAGTATTTCATAACTATTGTGTGTATTTTTGTTAAATTAACAGAATTTATTTCCTTATATCTAAACAACTACAGTATTTTAATTATTTATATTTAAATTTAAATTATTAAATTTAATGATTAACTATTTCTATTTTAATGATCTGTTTTGTCAGATTGTAATGGAATTTTACAATTCCTACTGTTTTATGAGTTGTTTGCCTAAAAACACTGAACTTAATTATAAATCTCATGATTAACTAATATTAAATCTACATTTGTTTTGCAGTTCCAGTCTTTTCGCACTTTGTCTTCACTTAAAGCTAATCAATATTTTAAAGTAAGAAATTCTGATTTATCCATAAAAACAGATACATTTATTTTTCGAAAACATGTTTTTTAACTCAAATCATTTATATCGGAATTTTATATGAATTGCATAATAAAGTCATCAGATCTTGAAATACATGAATGCAAAACAAATGAAAGAAAAGTCAAACCCGAGTGGAATGATCTGCCGTTTGGCAAGAGTTTCAACGATCATATGCTTGAAGTGAACTGGAATATAGACAAGGGATGGAGTAAACCACTGATCGGTCCAATACATAATCTCTCATTACATCCGTCCGCAAAAGTGCTTCATTACGCTCAAGAAGTGAGTCCAAAGTTGCGTTCATTTGTCACTTTATTTCATAGCTTTTTTAAACAGCTTTTTGAAGGAATGAAAGCTTTTCGTGGAGTCGACGGAAAGATCAGAATTTTCAGACCAGACATGAATATGAAGAGAATGAAGACATCGGCTGAAAGGATGAGTTTACCGGTAAATACGAAATGATTTAATTATTTTTGATACAACTTTCAAACGGATCATACGAGTAGTACAGAGGACCTAAACAGCACTCAATTCATGTCTGTTTATAATATTTTTATAGTTAACAAATCAAAAGCGATAGAAACAAACTCTACGATAAGTGACGAAAGATTTCATTGAATTAATTGATAATTAATTGATAATTAATTGATAAAAATACAGTATATTTGTACTTTATTGAAGAATATGCCAAACATTTACTTCACACCAGTTATAAACACAATAATTCTTATCTTATATTAATTTTTAAATAAATATTTTCTTAGGATTTCGATGGAAATGAATTGATTGAATGCCTAAAGAAATTAATTAAAATAGACGTGGATTGGGTGCCGCCCTATGAGACGGGAGCCTCGCTATACATTAGGCCCACTTTTATAGGGACCGAAGCGGCGCTCGGCGTTCATAGTTCTCAGGACGCGTTGCTTTATATAATCTGCGGACCCGTCGGCTCCTATTTTAAGGGCAAAACAGCGAAACCGATCGCACTGTTAGCCGACCCCAAGTTTGTGAGAGCCTGGCCGGGAGGGGTGGGCGACAAGAAAGTGGGCGCAAACTATAGTTCAACACTTGCCTTACAGAATGTGGCCGAAGATAAGGGTTGCCAACAAGTATTGTGGCTCTTCGGCGATGACCACCAACTGACAGAAGTGGGAGCAATGAATTTGTTTGTCTTTCTCATCAACGAGAAGGGAGAGAAAGAGTTGGTGACCCCTCCCATAAAGTCGGGTCTTATTCTTCCGGGAGTGACCAGAATAT